TGTGTGTGTGTGTATATGAAGGTATTATTAATATTTTTATTTAGCAATTAGTTTTACAAAAATATTTAAAATATAAAAAATGTGTTTTTGTAAAAAAAATATTTTAAAAAGACTTTTAATGAATTTATTTATTTATTTATGTTTTATTTTTATTTATTTTTATACATTATTTTAAAATCTTGAAGAAAGTAAGATTATAGACAGCTTAATTCAGGTGAATTCATTTCAGGCCTATCAGACCGTATAGGGCACACTTGCGCTAGCAAAAATTATTATTGATAAAACAACAATAAAAAACAATCAAGATAAACTAACTAGTAAACCTCAGAAAATGACTAGTCCGCTGTTGCAATGACCATCCTGATCAACTTAACACATTTCTAAATACTTTACAGCAATTACTTAAAAAAAATATATAATTTGTTCTGATGATGTCCAAAAATACTGCCCATCAATTAATACTTATCCATAAGGCTTATGCTACTCCTTATGTGTTACATAAAATGAAATGCCTGCCTACCCCTTTATGTACACTCTGTAATTCTAATATGTGGGGACCTATATGCACATGTTCTATGAGTGTCAATTCATTGACAAATTTTGGACAAGGTTTTCCAAGTCTCATTGGGAGTTATTCGATATATTGTTGTCCCAGTCTCTGCTTATTAAATGATGATGCTCATGAATGATCTTGATGATCTTGAATGATCTTGATCTTAATATTAACCAACATAGGATCCTCCACACTGCTCTAACTGCTGCCTAAAATATCGTTTTTAAGATTTGGCATGAACCTACATTTCCAGCAGTTAAAATGTGGCCCATAGAAGAAAAAAAAAGTAAAGCTTTGTTAGAATGCTCAACAGCAAGAATCAACAAAGCCAAACCAAAACCTCTCAGGGCATGAGCAGAATTTATCTCAATAGAGAAGTCGTTGTTTGTTTTAAAAACAAGGATGAGGGACCAATTGATATCCTACAATGTGTGCTGATGCTTTACACTTTTTTATTTATTTTTGATTTTTATTTTTTATTTTTTATTTATTTTTGTTTTTTATCTATATAAAATAATTTTTTACTTATTTCAAATTCGTTTAAAAAATAACATTACAGACAGCTTAATTTAAGTGAATACATTTTGTTTTTACAGTGAGTTTGCTTTGTTTTAGATTGACTTTTTTTGTGTATGTGTATCTTATCACAATAAATGTGACTACATTGTGCAAGATGGTCATAAATATACCACATGCAACTGCTCAACTCAAAGTAAGGATCTATGGTCTGTCAGGCGGAGATACTGTAGTGGAAGTGTCAGTCCTGTGAAATGAACTCTTGGTGTCCCATGCATCAAATGTGAGGCTGTCAAGTGCTGGAGCTCATTTCACACTAGAGTGCCTCCAACATGATGAGGTTTGTTTCATAGCAAGTCAGAGGTTATGAAACAAGTCCTACAAGTCAACGCACGCATGCTCTGCATATTTTGTATGTCTCTCTTATCTCACACACTCAGACATTTCAGGGGCCTGTTTCAATAAGGAGGTTCAACCAACTCTGAGTTGACTTACCCTGAGTTGGGGAAATTCGAAAAAGTTTTCGGGTTCAGCTGAATTGAGTTAGTTCAATCGACTCTGAGTAGGTTGACTCTGAGTTTAGCGCGTGCACCACGACTACGAAAAGCCATGATCAATTGGAGCTCCGAAATTATGATTCACCATGGCAACAGCACCCGGCAAAAAGACATCCGCATACTCAATACATAACTTTATTTCTTAATCATTGTTATAATATCAAAGGTAAAAAGTGGCAGAACGGTAAATTATTGAACAGATATTAATTTTCATGGTATCCACAGGCAAAAGAAAAAAACAGCAAAGCAGTTAAACATGAAGTGTAAAAATGTAATTCAATCAAGGTAAAGCTTTAAGCATAAAAGGTTCATAGGCTACATGACTTTACAAACATTTGACATTAAATAAATATCATTCAGTGTCTATTTCAGTGCGCAGCTGCTTTTTCCACGTAGTCTAATGCTCTTTTCATATAATTAATTATTCTCTAATCCAACCTGCTACATTTCTTAATTAGAGTAATGAAATTAACATTTGACTTCTACTCAGCCAACAGTAAGAAGGCTTGCAAAATAATGAAGAACAAATGAAGAGGAGATGGCCACAATACCAAATAATGGAAGAATAAAATCCAACAGGAAAAAGAATACCTGTTGCTTTTGTATTTGTGGGAAATGAAGATGACCAAATAAATTTAACAGCTGTGGTGGTGGTTACGTCATATATCACAAACTACCCTTCCATCTGGCATCCTTTCATTCCATACAGTAATCAGCTTCATTTTCCATGGGTTTGTGCTCAGAAAAGAATCCCTGATGTTATATAGAAAACTATCATTTAAAAATGGTACCGCTCAAATAAATATGCGTGTGGATATGGCAAAAAAAAAAAAAGTCCAAATAATCCTTTTCTGATGTAAATGTAACTCCCTACGAATTAATGCGGCCTTCTCATCAACAGGATCCTGTATAAAACGACATGCTGTTTTTGTCACTTTCACGGTGTCTTCATGATGAAAATATGTGCAATGAATGAATTTACCAGCACTGCAAAAAAAAAATTTTCTTACTTAGTATTTTTGTCTTGTTCTTTCCAGTCAAAATATCGAAAGATTCTTAAATCAAGATGTTTTTTCTACATAAGAAAAATGACATAAGGTTTTTAGTCTTTTAAGTGTATTTTTCTTATTTTGCAAATTATCTGCCAATGGGTTAAGAAAAATAATCTTGTTTCCATTTGCATTAATATTATTTTTCTTGTTTTAAATAAAATGCACTTAATTTAGATTCCAAAATACTCACTAAGAAAAGCATTTTTTGCAGCGTGAATAAATGAGGTATTTAAACATCGCTTATGCTTTAAAAACGGGGAGGAGACCGAAAGAAATTCTGGGTTTAACAAAGAAAACCTGCTCCCGACCAGAAAGAGACTCCCAAAAGAAACTATCGTCGCAAGTTCCGTCGTTACCAATAGAGTTCAATGGAACTAACAACCAAAGTTAGCTACCGATGCTTTTAGGAAACGCACCCCAGGTTAGGTTCACAGTGTAAGTTACCATGGTAACAGACTCTGAGTATAAGTTACCTCTCTTTCAGAAATGGGCTTGACTTATCCTGCTTTCTCGGGTTTGACAAACCTCCCATTCTGAAATGGAAAGCCCAGAGTTCCACTCATTTCAGGGTTAACAAACTCTGAAACTCTGTTCTGAAACAGGCCTCAGTTCATGGATCTCTCCCAATGAGTTGATGATCTCAATCAGGTGTGTTAAAAAAGAGAGACACACAAAATGTGCAGAGCAGTGGGTCCCCAGGGCCAGGACTGAAAACCACTGGTCTAGAGCGCCTGTTGATTTTACTTAAAAGTGCTGTATGTTCTGAAGTGATGGAGTGTTATGCCCTTGGCTAATGTAATATGTCCACTTTATTGTTTATTGCTTACTGTAATTGTTCTGGGGTGTATTCTAGAAAGCAGGTTATGTGACATAGCCGGGTATGTTTGAGGATAAGCGAGCGGATAACCTCAGCTTTCGGTTCCAAAATCGGAGGTTACTTTCAGGGTATGTAAGTAACCATAGTAACTTGTTCTCTGAAGATAACCTGCTCCGGAGCAGGTTATGTTCCAGGGTTAGTTCACTTCAGCGCACGTGTGTTCTACTGACGAGCCTTCAGTGGGCATGACAGATAGCGCAAATTCTAATTCTATTCTTTATAAAAAATTAAAAAACTTGCCCCTTTTATACTTGCACTCTATTTATTTACTAACTGCTTGTTTTCTTTAAAAAAAAACTTGCTTCTCTAATCTTTTTGCATTCTATCTATTTGTTTTCTTTTTATTTATTATGCAATTATAATTCTGACTTTCTGTCTTCTGACCTCTGATTAACAAAAGCAAAAAAGGCCTCTAACACTAGCTTGCTCTATTCTTTTTCTATTCTATCTGTTTTCTTTTTATTTATTATATGCTTTAAAAAAAAACCTTGCTACGTGTACTGCGTTAAGCTAACAGACTTGTTATAGCACTTGCTTATCATTGCTCTTTTGTTGATTTTGATTGCTTCCATTGTCCTCATTTGTAAGTCGCTTTGGATAAAAGCGTCTGCTAAATGTCTAAATGTAATGTAAGTGTAATATATATATATAATAAAATCGTCAAAGGATATACATAAGAAAATAACTAAAACAAAAAATGTAAAATGGGTTACAGACACTTCACATTGACCTTAAACACTCTCTTCCCTTTTGTCTGTGTTCACAGGGTTGAGGAAAGCTTTAAAACTCTCTTTTGGTCCATATTCGGCCTGTCTGAGGTGTCTTCTGTGGTGTTGAAATATGATCATAAATTTATCGAAAACATCGGCTACGTGCTGTACGGGATCTACAATGTTACCATGGTGGTGGTTCTGCTCAACATGCTTATTGCCATGATAAACAGCTCATACCAGGAAATAGAGGTGAGTGTTTTTCAAATGCAGTATCTACAGTATGCTGCGTCCCAATGTGTCTACTTATACTACGCCCTTCTTCACTCTTTTGATGAAGAAAAAGTACACACTTTTGAGTGTGTAGTAGAAGAGTTGGCAAGCTTTGGGACATACTATCATGTCATAAAATTGCGTCTCTAATGGGCCGCTCTGTCGCACAGTTACACGCACCCTGTCACTGTAAAATGGCTTGTCAATCATATTCTCGCAGTTTTTACCATGGTGGTGGTTCTGCTCAACATGCTTATTGCCATGATAAACAGCTCATACCAGGAAATAGAGGTGAGTGATTTTCAAATGCAGTATCTACAGTATGCTGCGTCCCAATGTGTCTACTTATACTACGCCCTTCTTCACTCTTTTGATGAAGAAAAAGTACACACTTTTGAGTGTGTAGTAGAAGAGTTGGCAAGCTTTGGGACATACTATCATGTCATAAAATTGCGTCTCTAATGGGCCGCTCTGTCGCACAGTTACACGCACCCTGTCACTGTAAAATGGCTTGTCAATCATATTCTCGCAGTTTATATCCTCCACATTTCATTTCATTTAACTTCCTACCGTATTGGAGAGAAAAGAAGTAGCACATTGATCCGCCAGCCGTGGGTCTTTATGCAGAGAATTCTGCTCATATTTTCTGCATAATGATGCATTTAAAAGTTAAAGGTGGGGTAAGCGATTTCTGGTAGCCAATGTTGACATTTGAAGTCACCAAAACAAACACGCCCTTACCCCCAAAAGGGTCTTGCCCCTATTTTGATAGCTCCGCCCCACACATACGTACGCAACCCAGGCAACGATTAGTTCTAGATCCACTTTCCTGCAGAGTTTAGCTCTACCCTAATCAAACACACCTGAGTTGCTAATCAATGTCTTCAGGATCATTAGAAAAACACAGGTAGGTTTGTTTGATTACAGGGTTGGAGCTAAACTCTGCAGGAAAGTGGATCTCGCGAGCCAGATTTGAGGATCACTGTTGTAGATGAAATATAACACAGATAACATTAAATAAACATTTTTTAACAGGTTAAATGTTGATTATTAGTAACCCATTTATTTAAAACCTGTGCACGGATCATAATCAAGATTTTAAAAGCTATGATTGAGAGGTAATCGTAATCATTGAAAGCAAACTACCATACAAAAGAGGGTTTTTGCCTCTGTGTGGTAGAAGAACCATTTTTGGTACCCCCAAGAACCTTTCAGTAAACCGTTCTTAAAAGAACCATTTTTCTTAGTTTAAAGAACATTTTAATAATCTTAAGAACCCTTTTCCACTATAAAGAACCTTTTGTGGAATGGAAAGATACAATGGATGTTAAAGGTTCAATAATGAACCTTTATTTTTAAGATTAAATTCATGTTATAGATCGTTAAAGGAATAGTTCACCTAAAATAGATTGTTAAAGGAATAGTTCACCTAAAAATGAAGGTTTGCTGAAAATGTGCTCTCCCTCAGGCCATCCTAGATGCAGATGAATTTATTTCTTCATGGGAACAGATCTGGACTCCAGTCCATCAGTTAATGTCTTGTGAAGTGACAAGCTATGTGTTTGTAAGAAACAAACCCATCAATACATTTTTAAAGGGATAGTTCACCCAAAAATGAAAATTTGCTCTTAATTTACTCACCCTCAAGCCATCCAAGATGTAGGGGACTTTTTTTTTCTTGAGTAGAACAGTTAAGACATTTTTTGGATGAAGCCCTGATCTTTTGGGAATCATAAAATGCAAGTCAGCGGCTGCCTGTCTTTGAGAATAAAGCATATCAAGGAACACAAAATGAATACTCGTGGCTCCTGATGACTTGTTGAGGTCTTATGAAGCAAAACGATCGATCTGTGCAAGACACTGAACATTACTTTTATCCATAATATTGCTTCCTCCTGTAAAAAAGTCGTCTCGTCTGAATCATGAGAGAAATATGCACAGAACAAGCACCGTTTACAAGCAAAAACAGTCCAAAACAGTTCTATTCAGAAAGACTCAGAAGGAAGATGAACATTTGCATGGTATTTATTCCATAAAGTATTAACAGATGGTAGTGAGTTACAATGATTCATGTATAGTTGTATAGAAAAGTTCTTTGGCGTAGACCCCGTCCTTAGTCCTAATCATGGGGATGCAGATTCGGCGGATCCTGCCTGAAGATGAAGGCAGGGGCGGAGCCTACCCCCATGGATGGACAGGGCCAACCTGGTGGTGGTGGGGAGGATGGAGGGAAACGTCATGAAAGAGTTCATTCAAAAATGAAAGAGTTCAGTGCTTATATACTCCAGGTGTCAAGCAGTGATTGGCCAGACCTATTAATATGAATGAATGACTTGTCATTATAGTCTTTCTAACAGGACTTGCGCTTACAGCTTCATTTCTAATCGAATATGTCAGTGGATATTGATGTGAGAGACAACAGGGATGGACATTTTCAATGGAGGAAGAGTTATTATAGATTATGTACTCATATTTTGGCCAGAAGCAAAAGTTTCCACTTCACAAGGATAACTCTTGGACTATTGTGATGTTTTTATCAGCTGTTTGGACTCTCATTCTGACGGCACCCATTCACTGCAGAGGATCCATTGGTAAGCAAGTGATGTAATGCTACATTTCTCCAAATTTGTAGATGAAGAAACAAACTCATCTACATCTTTAAAATTTTCATATTTGGGTGTACTATTCCTTTAAAGGCTTCTTTGGCAAAAATACATCTGGAATCAGATCAGACTTGTCCTCTGTGTTTCCAATAATCCCCTGGGAGAAAATGATGTCTGAAGCTTTTAATGCTGCTGTTAAAATGACTGTAATCTTTCCGAAGGACTCTTAGAGCCTTTGAGGACCACAGATGGGGTCGGTGGGAAATAATTATTTTGCAAATGGCCCATAATTCAGATTTCTGGAGAAGAGGCATTTAGCATCTATCGCTGACCGAAAATGTAATTCTTATACAACACTAAACCTCAGTTTAACCCTTGCCATGCTGTGCTGAAAATCGTTTACCTAATTCAGTTTTCCCAGTCAAAAATGACTGGCATTTTAAAATTTCTCATTATGCTATATTATCAAACTTATTTATAGGCCAGTCATTTTTGAATGGGAACACCACAAGTGTAACAAGGTGGAGAAAAATCCCAGGACAAAATCGGTACGTTTTAGTCCAATGTGATAACATTAAGTAGCATTTTTATGGAAAAAGAAGATTGTCTCTGGGTCAGAATGACCATAACACAACATAAGGGTTAATCCTTATCCCTAGTCATATCAAAGCCTCAGCCTCTTATGGTATGATGATTTCTAGTAGTTCTGTACAGGATCTAACAGTCTGTTTCTCGCAGGATGATGCAGATGTGGAGTGGAAGTTCGCTCGGTCTAAACTCTGGCTCTCGTATTTTGACAACGGCAAGACTCTCCCGCCTCCATTCAGCATCGTCCCCAGTCCGAAGTCCTTCTATCTGTGTATCAAGAGACTGATCAACCTGCTCCGGTGTCGCCGGCGCCGCCTGAAAAAAGACGTGGAGCTGGGCATGGACAACTCGAAGTCCAGGGTATGTGTCTGCTGTTGTCTATTGTTTGTATGTGCTGATTTGTGTGTCAGGGTTGCACAAAATACTGAATTTAAGGCATTTTTCAGTTCATGAGTGTGAATTTGAATTGAATTGAATTGGCCAAAATTCACAGAAAGCTGAATTGGAATTTAAATTGAATGACAAGAAGAGGAATGTTTTGATATGGAATTATATGAAAATTCAGCACAACAGAGCAATATACAATAGTCTCAATATATATATATATATGTGTGTGCGTGCATGCGTGCATGCGTGTGTTATATTTAATCCCAGTCAATCCCTAGTTAGTAGATATTTTTAAAATGAATTTATAAAACTAATGAAAATGGTTTGTTTGAATTTATATTTTCATAATACAATTATATAATTTCATATAGTTTTTACATTTTAATCCTCAAATAGTAGATATGTATACAATTAATTTATGAGTCTATATATATATATATATATATATATATATATATTACAGTATGTATTAAATCATACACATATTATATAATATACAATGATACATTAAAATACACAAAATAGAATTATATGTTTGTCTACAAATTATTTCTTTTTTATAGCTGCCATTTTAAATATGATTCTCAATATGAACTAATGATTTTGGAAATACCCCATATGTTGTGTATAATAACATATTTGGTATTTAAGGTAAGTCATACTGAAAAAGGAAATTATAGAAAAATAGACTTCTAAGATTTTAAGATTTATGCGTATTTCTATAGACTTCCTTTTAATTCTATTTTAATTCCACTTTTTAAATTTTTAATTATAATTCTGCATTCTTGAATTGCTATTGCAATTCAAATTCATGGTTTGAATTTTTATTTAAAAGTCATTTTCAATTCCATCCATAGCCTTAGAGTGTGTGTGTGTGTGTGTGTGTGAGAGAGAGAGAGAGAGAAAGCTCTTGAATGATGCATGATATCTTTCCTCCTCCAGTTCCCTCTGTCTGAAATCTGTAGCCTGACACAGTGCACCTTCCATTCAGATTTTAAAGGATGAAGCACCTCTCCTCCCATCCGCCCTGCTCTCGGTGTGATAATTCACTCAACACCATTCATTTTCTGCCTCCATTCTCAATAAGACTGTACTTTTTTCCATTGAAAATAAGCCACAATGATCTATCTGTCCAATAAAGACCAGATAATACCTCCCTATGTCATTAACTTATCGACATTTCCCAAGCCAAACCGCTTTTTAGCGTTTCCACAAAAAAAGACAGATAGAGGCGGGAGATAGTTTTGTCCTTATTAGCCTGCAGAGAGAATCGATGCTGTTTCAGTGCGGAATAGAGGGGAGCAAACTCTGATGAAGAGTTGAGAGATGATCATTGCTTCCTCAGGGCAAATGTCATTTCATCTCCTGTGTGAGCGTGAGCACATGTCCACAAAACCACGAGAGTAACCGCATTATTCATGATTCATCTGTGGCAGAGGCCTCGGTCTAATTCACTCTGATCAGGCCAGCGTCTCCTGTGGGCTGCGTAATTGAAAAACTGACAAAAACATGTGTAGAGCTCCATCTACAAGACACGGAAGAGAGGGGCTCATCTGGTGGTTGCCTGCATGGCTGCTGTTTTCAGATCTTGAATCATCTCGTGAGCGTCAGGGAACATTCACTCATGCACAGAGACATTGAAGCAGTTATGAATTCAATTCTAATCACATCAGATTGTAGTTAGTGTTTTTCAAACATCTACCACAGGCTGTTGTTTGAGCCTGTCTTGTTGAATTGCACTTTAGTTTACACAACGTACTGTATTAATATGAAGGAATTTTCAAATTCCTTCGTATAGATTTTTTTTTACAGTTTAACATGTATTTTGAATTTTGCACTTCAGTTTTACTGTTAACAGAAATGTGTGTTACTGGATAATTTACTGGCAGAGAATTACCAGTGCACTTTTTTGTATTATTTACAGTATGCACTATTATAGTATATATATATATATATATATATATATATTTATTTATTTTTTAGTTTGTATTTTTATTTAGTTTTAGTAATTTCATTATATGCTTTTGACATTTTTGTTCATTGTTGTTTTTTCAGTATTTCCTTATAGCTTTATTGTAGAATATTATAATATTCTGTGTAGGTTTTTAATATTTCTTTATATTTCTGTTTTAGTTTTAGTAGTTTTAGAAGTTCAGCTTAAACTAAATTAAAAAATTTTCCTTGGCAACCAACTGATATTACTGCAGTTTTTTTCTTAATTATATATATTTTATTTTATTTCAGTTTTATTCCAATTACTGAAAACAGTTTTTCATGGTTTTAGTTAACACTAACAACAATGCTGAGAAAGTCTTTAGTGGTTTGTTACGCCCTCTGGTGGCCAAAAGTGAAAGATAATTTTATTTTACATTGAATTGCTTCTGAAATTGTATCAATTTCTGGATGTGTACTTACACACTTAAAACTGCAGTTAGATACATGTGAATCTGCAAGCACTGTTTACGTCATTAGTGTCTTTATTCAATTGTTTTTGGTTTATTGCTTGTGATTTATTTTTCTTCATTATTTTATTATTAACTGTTAACTTAATTATTTGAATTATTACTTAATTGGAAAAATAAGACTACATGCATTTGCTTCTTTAGTTTATATTAAATTTATATTAAAATATTTAATATTACTAGAGAATGGATGGATAGATAGGTTTAATAATAATATTATAAGTTAATTTAATATTAAAAATATTAAATACACAAAATAAATAAATATGAAGTAAATATAAGTATTTAATAGCATATTGGGTCTTATTGTGGTATTGAAATTGAAATCAATAATTGTGTAATTTCACTGGTTTTGATCTCAACTGCTGAAATCAGTTAATCAGTTGTTGAAACCCCTGTGACGTCATCACTCTTTACCAATAATCAATATTTCTCAATGCTTACAGCTGAACCTCTTCACCCAGTCGAGCATGAGGATGCCGGACTCTCACAGCTTCAACAGCATCCTAAATCAACCCACACGCTATCAGGCAAGGCCAGCATCATCTCTCTCTCTCTCTTTCACTCATATGATGAACCATCACTGCAGATTTCACCCTTAACGATTTCTCAGATTTTCACTTTGTCTGATTCCCTCACACAGCAAATTATGAAGCGTCTCATTAAACGCTATGTACTGAAAGCACAAGTGGACAAAGAAAATGATGAAGTGAATGAAGGTGAAGTGTGATTCACAATGAGATTCTTGATTATACAACTGATAAAAACAATAAATGGGAACATTTGCCATAAAACCAACCAATTGGATATTAAAAAAGGATGATTCTGTGATAAAGCTAATATGATTAGGATGTTATAATAATTCTTAAAGTTTATGTAAAATTAAATCTCACAAAGACATGTCCATTTCATATTGCACCTCATAATTGAAAGAAAAATAAATATAAAGATAAAAATATTATATTTTGCTTACAGAATATGAAGCCTATTAAGGACCATTTAAGATTTTTTTCTATTATTATTTACATGACAATTATGTATATTTCCCCCCCAAATGTTCTTGACAGTGTTCATATTTTCATATATTTGTGTGTGATCTGTAGGCGAGCTGAAGGAGATCAAGCAGGATATTTCCAGTCTGCGATATGAACTGCTAGAGGAGAAATCTCAGGCCACAGAAGAGCTCTCACTGCTCATACAGAAACTCAGTGACAAACTCAACCCTTCTGTCCATCCGCACCGAGCCAATGAAGGGTGAAGTCATTCTTTATGTTAAATACTTTATTACATTTCCATTTTAATATGCAGAACATCTGCCATTGTTCTACGTTTTGTCTGAATAATGGCAGATGAGGACATAGATGATAGTTTTTACTTTTAAGTTACTGTTAACTAGAAGTTAAAATGTGCAGTCACTCTGTTGGGCAGTTGTTGTTGTTGTTGTTTTCTTTGCTGGCTGTGTATTTCGTTTGAGTGTGACATTGGCTCCACTCTTTAATGATAAAGAGAATTTGATTGACAGCTCCATGCACTCAAAAATGTAGGTCTAGCTTTAAGATTTCAGTATTTGAATTGCACATACAATTTCCATCCATTTTGATTACACATTTTTAAAATAAACTAATAAACTTAAATGTGATGCATATTTGTTAGTCATACATGAATGAAACAGGTAAGATTCTGCACCTGTGTAATTTTAGTTTCTTTGAGATACTATTGTAGTCTTCATAATATATTGAATCCTTTTTTATTTACATAATTTTAATGTTCATTTTAATTTTACTTGAAGTTTTACTAATTTTGTTGTGTGTTTTTGTCATTTTTAATATTTCATATTTTACTATTTATAAGTCTATATAGTTTTGTATTAATTTGTATTTCAATTTTAGTTTTTTTTAGTACATCTAAAGTTAAAATAATCAGAATTAAAATGAGAAAATTTGCCTCCCAACCCCAGTGTTTCATTCAATGTTTATTTTATTTCAAGTAACAAAAATGTTTTTTTTTTATGATTTTAATTTTAGTTTCTGTTTTTGTTAACTATAATAACCCTGTGCTGTACGCAAAAATATTTTTTTCAGAATTTATTAACTATTTGCATCTATTATATAACTTTTAATATTTAAATAATCATGTTTTAAAAATGTATTTATTCAAATGGCTCAGCATAAATCTGTTCATTCTGAAAACACATTTATTCAGTTACAAAAGTACGAATAAGCAATATTCAATTAGTTAAAATATAGACTGGAACAAATTATTATTGATTGATTGATTGATTGATTGATGAAACCGAATAATTGTACTGTACTTAAAATGCATTCAGTGTATTAGTACTACTACAGAAATCTGTAGCCTGTTCCGTTTATGTATAACAAATATGCATCACATTACCTTTATTAGTTTGTTTGTGTAATGCAAATGGATGGAAAATGTGCAAGCAATTCAAATGCATACATCTTCAGTTTAGGCCTAAATATTTTTAATTATATGGGATATTTTACCTCCACCTATTTTAATAATAACTGAAAGTGCAATATTCAGTATGCGAGTGTTCATTACCTTCAGTACCTGTAGAGCACTGAAATATGTTTGGAGCGACTGTATAATCAACGATTCTGGATGATATTGGTGAATTTGTCCTATATAAATTGCTGTATTTATTTGTTACATTTTTTTTTCATGTTTTTTTTATGTTCAGTTGTTGTTTGTTGCGCATATCTGTGTGTGTATATAATATCATGCATTTTATATAAATTAGAGGTAATTCTGAATATTTCAATAAGCAAAATGTACAGTATTTCTCAACCAACTTTAGGCATGGATGTTTGTTGCATCCTGTCTTTATCCATTCCCAGCATTCCTTGGGAAACTGTATAGTGTAACTTTAAAGCTACAAAGTAGATAAAATATTAGTGGTCCAGAAAACCTTCTGAAAGCTTCTAGCACAAATCTATGCAGGGTAAATGTTTATCTGTACGTCACAGCTGTCATCATCTGACAAATTATTATTAATACCATTATTTATTGTTACAGTTACTTCAAGTGTTGTTTTGTTACAGTCACTTCAGCTTTGTGAATAGAAGATAATTAGCTGTTTATTGGCTTTGTGTTTTTTTAACCTTAAACCTCATAAACACATTTCATTACACCAAATACACAATCATATGACCCCTTTAATGTTCAGGACTTGTTGCCTGAATCTTATTTCTAGCAATAATTTGCCCAAAAATGTTTTAATTCTGTCATCATCATTTACCAAACCTATATGACTTATTTCCTTGTGTGAAATACAAAAGGAAGAAATTTGAGCTGCACTTGTACTTACAGCGAATGTAAATGGTGATTCATAATGTAAAGCTTCAAAAATAACCTAAAACCATCCAAACAGTTCAAACGGCTTGTGTGTGAATTTTCATCTGTGAGTGCATTATTCCTTTAAGAAGTGATTTTGTTTGTTTTAGATTTGTTTTTTGGTTTTGTGATGTCTGAGCAGAAATGGGCTTGTGTGGATCATTATTTATTTAAAATGTCTTTGTATTGTGTAAAAACCTAAACTCAAACAAAATTGCTGAGTTGCTTGAACCTGAATGTTGAGAATCAATGCTGTTCATCTGAGGGGTTTTTTAGTGTCATTATGAATGGTTGGTTCATAGAGGGCGCCATTTCATTTCACAAAGTGCATGAATTATATATATATATATATATATAGCCCAGTGATAATCAGTAGATGGTATATTTCATGATAGACAGTATATCTGCAGCAGTAGGCAGTATATATGTAGGATAAGAGCAGGACTACTCAACAGAAGAAAAAAAAAGATGTGAGAAAATATGTGCAATTCAGATTTGTTTTTGTCAGCTTGTTTTTGCTTGCATTTTCGTTTTATTTTGTTAGTTGTTTAAGCTATGCATTTTCATATAGTTATCAATTAAAGGATTTTAGAGAGAAATCTGAGAAATGTAACTAAGACATATATAAATATTACTGTAGTACAATAGCACTGAGACTCTAAATTTGACATTTTTAATGTTTTATATAAAATCTATTCATGAAAACATATGTGTTGTAATTCATTTATTGTGAGCACATTACACAGGTCTACAAGCGAAACAAAGTATAAATGTTATCAACATGAAGCGCCATCACAACCCATTCTGCAAGTTTTTTATACCGGAATGGAGTCAGATCTGAGAAACTGTCTCTATTGAAACGATGAGGCCTTTTCACCGGGATGTGGAGGCTCTTCAGGGTCCTTCACCAGTGCTGATACAAACGGCAAATAGAAAGTGAGTATGTGCCGCTACTAAAGTTTTACACAATCCTATAAATAATTGAAATGCAGATTAATCTGTGTTCTTAAGAATGCTTTGATGCCTACACACTACAAATTCACAACTAAAATGAACATTTGAGAAGATGACCTCCTTTTCTGATTACTACTTTCTTATATCAAATGTTTTCCCTTTTTTGGCAACAGAGTCATGTTCTTCCTGCGAGAGGATTACACAAAAGTCTTGTTTCTTTAAACTCATCACATGGCCATGGTCTGACCCTCAGGAATTGCAGCAGAACATTCTGGAGAAGTTATTCATGATGTCCCATGGTTCGGTTGTGACATTAAATAGGCCTATTAAGCAAAAGGGTCTGCAAAGAATATAAATATATGCAGAGACTAAAGTGCTATTTGAAGAAATGCAGTTAATTTCAACACAACATTCTTAAGTTTTGAAATATTATTTTGGCATTATCAGACACAACAAATATGAAGCATTTGAAATTAAGCATTTGATTTTCTTTTATTTCAATACAGGCCAACAGAATGCATATAAAGACCAGCCAATGCACTTTCTGTCCTGAGTGTCTTGATGCTTGCAAACTTCAACATCTTTTAAATTTGGGCCATTGGGTTGGGGAGTTACAACCATTCAGTCACTGTTTTCTGGGGACGAATCATGTCCCAGACTAGACCCGTCCCTGGAAATCTCCTTGTTTTACAACGCGTTCAAAACCGACCAACAGCCTTCAAAAGCATGTATAAAATATTACTAACAAAAAAAAAAAAAGTTACTATATACAGTTTACTCACAGCTTGTGTAAAATATTAAATGAAACTACAAAATATTACAAATATTAAAATAAATATTAAATGTGAAATATAGTTTGATGTATTTCTTTAATTTATTTTACATTTTGTAAGTCCTAGATATGATCTGTACACTAATTGCAATGGTTACTATTATTTTTCACTGTGTGATTTTGGTGAATTGCATTAAAACATCAAAAAATTATAAATTATAATAACAGTAAATGGAACCCACGATAATTAAAGAAAAAAACGTACAAAAATATATTATATTGTCCCCGGTTTTTTTTTTTTATTCATGTTTCAGATATTATATATTGAGCACTGAACTGGGAAATGTCCCTGGTTTCCAGAAATCTAGTCACTTAACAAGAAAACCACCTTAGAGGGAATTCACCTCATGAAAAATTTTATGAAACTTGGCTGTCTGCATTAAAAACGCGAAACATTTTTGACATTAGTGCCATATGACTAAAAAACAGATGGAAAGGTTGCGTTCCCTTTTACCAAAAGCTACAACATCCGTAATGCATTTGTCTGTCAGTTGGCAGGAAAACAAAATGCGGAAGTTCAATCAGGTTTCATGAACATAGATATGTGTAACCTTAGGTAGAATCCACATTCGACCACAATAGACACGTTGATGCATCCGCCATCTTGGAACGGTCTATATGTCACTGACAATAACAATCAATGTGTTTTAAGATGCAACAACATTGCACAGCTTCTGGATGTAAAAACCAAAATATAAATTCCTGAAGAAATCGGATAAACTTTCACAGGTAAAAATGTGTTTGGTGTGTGTGTGTGTTTTAAATATGCATTATGTATTAGCTTAATATTAGTTTTTTTTAACTGTACCTTTTAAATGTTGTGTTAGCTAACGGCTATGTCTTGTTGTATTGTCTTAGTTTAGCCAAAATCATATGCTTAAGTCTGCTGCAAATAGATATTCATACATGCTTTTAACTAGACCTACTGTGACCGTTCCAATATGGCGTATTGGTTACGTATGTTACGTAAAGCGGCCCATAGAAACAACTAGAATCTAGAAACTATACATATCTATGTTCATAGCAAATGTCAAAATCATGGTGTATTTATTTAAAGTCAAGTCAGTTCATTTTACTTGATTAGCCCAACCCATGTTATTTTAAAGCGACTTTGCTGAAAACCGTGGTCTAAACCATGCTTTATTTTTCAAGCGTGCTCAAATAAACTCAGGGACTTTTATTATGG